TTCTTGCTCAAAGTATTGTGATAATGATGATTCACTGGTAGGACAAAAAACACAATATGTAATGGTCGAGCTTTTGTACTTTATGAAAATTTCAATGGTCTAGCGCCAATTAAAAAACAAGTGTTTGCATTAGGCAGAGTTATAGCTAGACTTTCAGATAAGGAACCAATAAATTATGTTGTTGTATTGGCCCCTGATAAGAGCTAAACTTTGCCTCTGATTAACAGTAGAACATGGGGCAGTAGAAACAGAGATAATGATGTGATTCAAAGCCACTATAGCTGTGAGCTGAACTCCATTGTTTACTTCCTACTTGCCTCTCCAAGCCTTGTTGTAAATATGCTGCACTTTTGTTCACTAAATTAAAGTAACACTATTTAGGCATGCACAGAGATGAGTTCTTCCGTCTTACCTGGACATGCTGTCAGCGATGCAGTTCGGTCCAGAGTATCCCTCACTTCTGCCTGACAGAGACCCCTGTGACATGCCTGGTCGAGATTTCCATGACTCCATTAATGCCGTTACAGGTGAAATCAGGTTCAACAATGGGTTGGACTGGTCTCTCACATCATGCCGTGTGAAGGACATTGCTCCCTGTGCTCCAATTTGGTAATGGAATGAGTGTCCTCCGGAATTAACTCCAACAATGGCGGACGTAGACATGTTGTTATTCTCCTGGTAATAGCTGTCGTCAGTGGACTCCTGCTTAACCCCTTTAGACATGACGCTGGAGAACAAGTCTGCCTCGTAGCTCCCATTCACAGAAGACACAGGGGGTCCTAGGATCCCAGAAAGACTGTATTCATCAATGTTATTCCTCAAGGACAGATATGTGGTCTCAGATGCAGGGAAGAGGCCAAGAGATGGTGACTGTTCACTGTAGGACTGCTGGTTCACACATCCCTCACTTTTGTTTGGCTCAGTCTTGATCTGCGTGATAAAAGGGGTGCTGCTCACGTTACATTTGGAGCTGCCCAAACATGTGCTCCTGAAGTCAGTCCCAGGCTCATTCTTAATGTACTTAACCATGCCCATTTGGTCCAAACCAATGCTGAACGCCTCCCTGTCAGCCATCTCTACTTTAGGAAACTCAAAGTTTTTAAAGTCTGTGTCTCTGGTCACCCCTGCCGCTTCTGGGCTGTTAGAGTCATTCTGCACTAATCCCAGTCCCCCAGCAGGACTGGACACAGGAAACCCAGTAGAAGAGGGGTTCTGGGGGCTGCTGACAGGCATAGCCCCCCCTGTGGCTGGACTAGATATGGAGGGTCTTACTGTGTTACTGGTAGTGCCAGTACAGCTGCCACCTGCAGGGCTTGAAACAGACGACCTGATGTTACATGTAGTGCTGCAGGATGGTGGTGATCTCACACTACTCATGCTCTGTGGGCTGGACATGGGTGACCTCATGACATTTAGGGGGCTGGTGAGTGGTGGTGACCCAACAGTGCTGGATTCCACAGGGCTACAAGTGGCTGAATTCCTGCGCTTGATGTTGGCTAGAGTGGCAGCACATGAAGTCTGGCTTCCAGGACTACTGGCAGACGAGCATAACTGTCCGAAACATGTAGGAGGGCTGGTGGTAGACGACACCATGTTGTTACTCCCTCCAGGGCTGGAAATGCAGCTGGAGGTCCTGGGACTGCAAGACAGAGAGGAAGCAAGCATAGATGCTGAGCTAACTGGAGTCCCAGTGCTGCATTCTCTAGGGGTGACGCTGGTCTGCTGGAAGCCAAATGGCTTTAACTTAGGGCTCTTTGTGGAGCCACACTTGTTTTCTTCGAGGGGTCTTCCACAAACGGGATAAAGCTTTCCCGGGCTTGCGCCGCCTCCGTGTTGGCTAAAAGCAAAGTCCGCCTCCCTGGCAGCATTCATATACAGGCCCATGGACTCAGCTACAGTCTTGGAAAGCTCCTTGGAGTCCATTTCCTGCTTGTGACCAAGCAGGGAGTTGTTGAAGTGCGGGAGAACAAATGGCTGGCTCTGGCTGAGCTGAAGCATTGGCTGCTCCTGCTTCTTAGTGTTTTTGTCTTTGCTGTCGGCAGTCGGGCTTCCAGCAGGGCAACTGACGTTGACCATGTCCATCAGGATATCGCTGCTTGTCAGACTTGAGTCCTCTGTGCTGCAGCAGTACTCCATACTGCCGGGGGCTTGAGACCATTTGTTTTCTGAATCCTCTCCATCAAAGAAGCTTTGGTATTCCTTGGTCTCCATTGCTGACTTATTGATTCATCTAGGAAACATGAAAAGAAACAGAAGGTGGAGACCAAATCAGAATAAATTACTTATCTGTGAATGTGGCAGCTAAAAAAGCTAAATAAATTCTGAGGGTTAAAAAAAGTTATCTTTATGGAGCTTGTTGGGG